AAGGCATCAATCTCAGCATACAAACAAGGATTCCAAAAGGCAACAAGACAGTTGAAGATAAAGAAGCATTTCAACAGGCAACTCAATGTCAAACACAGGGCCCTCAGAGGGTTCATCATTGGGGCAATACAGGCATCATTCAATCTCAGAAGGCAACACAAGAAGGAGAAGAAGAAAAGAAGATATATATATATTAAGCTTTCAGACAAACATCACGAAGCCTAAAGAAGAGTACCAGGGTTACCAAAAGGCAAAGCTAGCTTCATCGCGCATACCCCTTCGCCATTAAGCCTCCAAGCACCTCCGCGCTCGCCTCCTCCTCCATCTCAGAAAGGTAGCCTTCCTATACTCCTTGCATGCATGTCAAATAATGAAAGAAAACATGTAAATCAGAATCCAATCAAAGCTTAAAATCAAAGATATAACGAAATCCTTAATACGACCGAACCTTGCAAGCGTCTTCTGAACAGTGCACTGAGGGAGAAGGGGAGACGGTTGCGCTGGTGGCTAGGCGGAGGAGGTTACATTCAGAGGCTAATCGGAGAAGACGAACGAAGCAAACAAACGGCGCTTCAGTGTACACAAACCCTAAGCTAGCTTCAACTGAACACAAACCAATTAACCCTAAAAACTTTGTCTCAAGTAAACTGGGCCTAACCCTTTCAAATGCTTAAGCACGTTTCATTAAACCACCCCCTCATTCTTTTTTCTGTTTGGGCCATAAGGCTCCCAAAGCCCATTCAGAAACTTAACCCTTTCTTTTTTTATAAAGCAGATTTAATTTTTGTTAACAAATTAACATAAATTTTCTTACATCAAATTATTTTTTCTTTTTATAACATAATCATTATCTTGAATATAACATGCCCTTTTAATTAAAACTTTTTCTTTGTTTAACTTAAAACATTTTTTTAGTTAAATACATTCTCTTAATATACACAATATATTAAATATTAAAACATTTTCTTTTTATTAAAAAAATCTTTCTTTTCTACATGATTGCATAATTTTTCCTTTAAAAGTTAATATTTTTCTTTCTTTAAAATTAGAACTTTTGTAATATACATAATACAATTAAAATTGAAAAACATTCTTTCTTTCATTTAATTAAAATGTTAACTTGTACATAATCAATTAAAATACATTTTTTAATATACATAATTTAATTAAAATTTAAAACATTTAATTAAAACATTCTTTTTGTATATATTAAACAAAAATATAAAAAATACAAATTAAACATATAATACAATTATACATTCAAATTCACATCTCAACCTGTAAATAAATTACATACATGAACATATACACTTACACAATACACAAAACATTTCACATTATGCACTTGATACACATACATTTACTATTCTTATACGTTACTATACATTGTTTACATTTTTTGTCGCAATTCGATTTGGTTGTAACTTATTGGATACTATGAGTCTCATCCCCATTTGTGAATCTGTACCCCACTCCCGGATACTTATTTTGTAATAGCGTAGACTTTACATTTCCGCAATTTACCGCTTTTGAATTATACCATGGTTACACCTAGGGTTTGCATGTACATAAAACCAAACGCTAGATAACCTAATACAAGACAAATACATGAAATCAACACACAATCACACTTGCACCCTCTAGGGTAATCCCACATGTTGCCTTCCAAAATGGGTCATGCTTGCACGTCGAGTTTCTTTGGCAAAACAAATTCAAATGATCATAAGTCCCTCGATGACGCTTTCGAAAGTTGCCTAAATGGAATGATCATAGTCCCTTCAAAGCAAATTGCCAAAGACACTTGGCACCATTGCATTCATTGGTCCATACGATGACCCTCGCCCGTCCCGAACAAACTTCCTAAACGCAAGATTGTCCACCAAATTCAATGGTGGAACAAAATTGTTAAAAAGGGTTGAAAACATAGAGAAAACCTTTGAGTACAATAGGGTAGACAAAACTCTTAGTTACTTGAGATCAACTTGCAAAAACACTTGCTTTCTTTTCAAAAACCACACTCCACAAACACTTTCAAAACAAACTCTCAAAAACATTTGAAACATCTTTTCGAAAAGATACACACTTTTGTAAAACATTCGAGTAAAGAATTGTTACAAGGGTAGTCTAAGACAAGGCATCTTCTTCAAAAACATTTTCAAAAACACACACACACACCATTTTCAAGCAATCAAAAATCAAGGCAAGTGATCTAAAAAAACCAAGTAACTAAGAGCCCATGGATAACCATGGATGAAAAGGATGCTAATACCTTCCCTTTTCATAATCTACCCCCCGGACCCACGAAATATCTCAAAAGGTTTTTACTGTGCTTTTTTAACCTTTCCTTTAGGATAAAATAAAAAGTCGGTGGCGACTCTTGCTCAACCGAACAAGTGCGAATACAAACGCAAAACTCATAGTCAGTTCTCCCACCGTATCACAGCTGTGAAGGAGCTGATGAACTAGTTCTTGAGGTTTCTCTAGGAGGTGATCGGCCCTGGGGAGAGGTTCATGTACCAGTCCATGGAAGTCTTTCTCAATTTCGTGGGGAACAACCGTCATTTGATTGATCCCTCAACATTATGGTAATAGAGCATTGCCTCGAACCCATCTATGTGGTCAATTGGATCCGCAATACCGTCATACTCTTTTAACTGGGGAGGTTTCTCCATTCCCCTGGGAATGGGCACTTCCATGATTGCTTGGGACAAGGGACCGCGGGGGTCGTCTTCGTCACTTTTGTCTGGAGAGCGAGAGAGTGATCGATTGTGATGGCGGTCGTGATGAGGGTCTTGACCGCGGGGAGGGTCCCTCGGTCGAGGTTGTGGTTCTTCGTTTCCCCTGTTTTTGTTTCTAGGGGGTCGTCAGTCTCTGTGCGGCGGTGTGCGGTCGCGCCTCCCTGTATTGATAGACTAAATCCTTTGTAACGCAGGGCATCGTCCAATTCGTCGGGGAGAGAGGCTTCGTGAGGCATCCCGCCTATGTCTCTGCGGGGGAGATTGAGGATGTTTTTCCATCTGACGGGGGGAGGAGTGTTTGGTTTCCCGTGTCTCCTGGGCGCCTGGCGAGCTTGTTTGAGCATATTCAAGCGTTCACCCTGCGAGAATATCATATAGTTTGTCTGATTGATATACGCAAACAAGGTCTTGGTCGTGGCATCAGTGACCGCAGGGAAGGGGACCTCCTGGAATGCATTCGATTGATAGTTCTAGGGAGGATAGAAGTTGTCCTCGTGTCGTCGGCATAGGGATGACGAAGAGGCAGTCAGTCCGTCCATGTAGTTCTGCGAGGGGTCGGGCATGTCGATGGCGTGCCCGGCGTTGTTGTTGCCAGCGTTGTTGTTGTCAGCGTTGTTGTCGCCGACGTTGTTGTTGAGGTCTGCGAGATGGGCGTTTTGGTTGTTATCGGTAGCTAAGTAGGCCATGACAGTCAAGAGTTTGGAGAGTTGCTTTAGTCTTGAGTAAATGAAAGACGGGAAAGTTGTTTCCCACTGACGGCGCCACTGATCGTACCTGACCAGAATGTGATTGTCAAAGCCCATGAGCTTCGAGTTGAGCAGCTGTGTAAAAGTGAAGTGGGAGTACCTGCGAGACACTCTGATACCAAAGTGAATTTCAGAGTCTAATGCAAGTAAGTGAGTATGAGTGTGAATGACCAATACCTTATCCTCTCAAGTGAGAGGGTATTTATAGCCTCCAACGTTGGGCCAAGGTCTCCAATGTTGGGCTACGATGAGGCCCAATAATGAAGACTGTTCGGGCTCATGTGGCATTCCCCCTGGTCAACTACCCCGAGAAAGTAGGAGTTGAATTCGTTATTCTCGAAGGACAAGATGATGATGGTGATATGGACACGTGGGCTACGTTTCCCAACTGACACATGGAAAGTTATTCAATGGTCCCCGACTTGAATTGTTTGTCTTTGGACGTCATATAAAAGTGTTAGATTGGGCCTCTCCAATAATAATGTAGACGCTGGCCTAGTCCAAATCACTTACCTTTCACTTACCTTGAGACCAAATCTGTTATTAGGTAGTTAAAACTATAACGAGTGCATCCGACGCTAAAATAGAATTCTCGATGGTAGTTATTGTCCCAATATATTTGTCAATTTATTATCAATGCATTTTAATCTTTCAATTATATCCATAACTTTTGAGAGGATATAATTTTTTAAACGATTATTTTTTTCCAACAATATCCATAACTTTCTAATAATTTATTTAACTTTTTATATCTCTAATAATTTATTGAACTTTGAAATGTGACACTTATAAGAAACAAAATTTTCTCTAAAAACCAAAATTTTCCCTAAAACGTGACACTTAAAAAAGAACAAAGAGAATATTATTTTCACACTTCCCATTAATGATAATTTGATTACATAAATAGTTTTAAAAAATAATTTAGTAAAATTATTATTCTCTTTTATTTATTACAATCTCTTGATTTCTTAATTAATGTTAATTTGATTACATAAATAGCTTAAAAAGATAATTTAGTAAAATTATTATTCTCTCTTTTATTTATTATAATTTCTTGATTTCTTAATCTGTGAAATTATTTTGGAACAGAGGAAGTATGTTTTATTAAATAGTGCGAAAAAGTGTATCATAGTGCAACACTTTATTCACTTGTGTCCGTTAGAAGTACCCTAACTGACATCCATCTTTTTCATCAATAAATGCAATCACGTCTGGCTTCTGAATTCAAAGTCGTGTGAGGAAAAAAATGCAGTTCTTTTTTCATCATTACTAAACTCCAATGAGCAGAAAAATAATGAGCATTTAATTCAAATCAGCTTCTGAAGTACAAACCAAAGCTAGTAACATTTTTGCACACTAGAGCTAATACCTAAAACGGACAGTTGACGCCAACACAAAAAGCACTTTGTAGCTTCTGCTTGAAAGTAATGCCCACTCCTTTTGTTCTGTCCTATTTATTTTTAGAGATTAAGTAGACCATATGAAATGGTAAAACATTTATGGTGACCAGAGATTTATGGAAGCTGGTAAATGTTTTTTACAACATTACATAAATGAAAGTTGTCTTTGCTTCAGCATTATGCAGCCCTCACTTAAATTAACACTACTTACTAGACAAAATCAAGAAGCAATAAAGAAAATGACCAAGAGTCAAACAACTATACCCTGTATACACTCACTAATCCAAAAATCTTATGTACGATACAGTTCAATGACAATGATCAATGACCTCAATTCGAAGAACCTCCCAATGAAAACGTAAGTATAAGTTCAAGGCACTGTGGTCAGCAGATACAGAGGGTGTTGATAATAATGTTACTCCATTGACAGAAAGAATTACATACCACATAACTAAAAGACTGCAGACACCAACTGAATTGCTAATTTCATTAGTTGCCTATACAGAGTAGCCTTTTGCTATCCTTGCCTTGTTTACAATCCCAAAGATGTAGAAAGGTGCCGAATTCATCTCAAGCATTTATAGTGATCTCCTAATTATAAATCTTTACTGGCTTCTCAAATGTGTGGCGATTCTGAAAACAAAAGCCATGTACTTTTAACCGTTTAAACAAAGCAGGTTTTCCAAGTTTAAAAACTAATCAGCAAAGTGGACAAATACATCCAAAAAAGACTCAAATGAGGTATTTCAGAAATCTTGCTCTTATTAGAAATATCACAAACCTGATTGACTGCGTGTGATCTTTTAGGAGCATTGTCAGTATGCTCCAAACCAAGATATTGCTCCCAAGCACCATAAACATCCCGCCTCTATCAGAAGGATACCAAAAAAAGGGCAGTATGAACAAATTCAAAACAAAAAAATTAGTGATGAATATCATGCAAGAGAGACATAATTAGAGTTAACTTTCAATTAATGCACCTGAAAACGACTGGATACAATGTCTGAATCCTGAAGGTACTCAGGGCGCCCAAGTGATAGAAAAGCAAACTTCCACTGGCCAAACAAGAAATATTATAAAACAGTTTGGTAAAATGAAATCAAATATAATATCAATTTGTTCAGTGAAACCATCAAGTAAATAAAATGACTTCAAAAGCTGCAAACGTAATATATAACAACTCAGGTAAGTGAGGAAATACCTTGCTAAACTCTTCATCAGGAACTTGAAGTTTCTTCTGTATTCTCTCTTTAATTTCAGATAGAGCTTCACCTTCATGTATAACCAAGAAAAAAGGATCTCCAAAGTTTTGAATTTGCTGTAAAGTTTAGGGGGAAAACAAAATACACAATTAACGGCAGCATGAATATCAGAGACATTAAAATGTTTAAAAAGTTTTAAAAAAAAAACGAATCGATTAAAACCATTTACCATTTGATTTTGAGCAGTGTCTTTAGTAAAGTGGTACACGTGAATAAGCCGATCCTGTGGACCGATGTTTTTCTCTTCTTCTGGAATCTGTGAAATTTGAATAAAACCACAAAAGAGTTTCATTTATTTTGCGAGAAACCAAACTATTAAAAACAGTAGTATCTAATTATACATCCAGAGAATTGTCTGACTTTGTTATTAGTAGAGCAAATGAAAGAAGAAATACATCATACTTGAGGACTTCAAACCCCACTTATAGAAAGAGATTCCTACCTCTTCTGCTCGCAATGTCCAGTATTGATCATTAATGTTTTCAATCTTTTCATTGGATGGGAACACCTGCACAAGCAGATTGGTAGGAAGTGATAAACAATAACGATAACGATAACAACAATAACAACAATAACAACAATAACAATAATAACAATAATAACAACAATAACAATAATAACAACAATAACAATAAAAATAATAATAATAATAATAATAATAATAATAATAATAATAATAATAATAATAATAATAATAATAATAATAATTTGTTTTTGTCTAATAGTCAAACCAGAAAGACAGAAACACGAGCAATTGAAGAATCATAATTGAATACTTAATTTACAAACCTTAACTATTATTGCAAGAATGACAATATTAAAAATCTATGAGTCATCATCAACACAACAGATGTAACTAAATACCTTGTATATCTTGTGATAGAAGACTTCAAGCAGCCGTAGCTCAGCATCAGGATGAGATAACTCCACCTAAGCAACAATAGTAATAATTGACCATGATAAAGAACTATACTATAGTTTCATTCAAAAAACTAATATCAGGGAAAAGCTGACGATCTTTTTGGAAATAAATAGAATTTAGCATTGACGTCACAGACGCTCAAAACATGCAAAAGATGGTTTCACCTAAGTGACACTACTATTTTTTTTCTTCATAATTCAAATGAAGCCATGCGCACTAATTTTTGCAGTTGTGACCTGTGACCATAATATAGTGCAGGAGTCTGGTCTGCACAAGAAATGTAACCAGTTAATGAAATGAGGCTTAACAATTTCACCTTTGTTTTAAGATCATCAAGGACATCACCAACAGTGCTCTGCTTTGGGAGTCTGATGGTGTGACTAACCACCTGTAACAATGCAAGGAAGTATAGTAAAAGGGAAATGGGGAAAATATAGATGAAAATAGAGGCGAATAAGGTCACCATTCTCACCTCATCCTTGATGGCATGATGAAATGCAACTTTCAGAGTTTTCAAGCCTTGTAATTCAGGTAGAGGGATGTCGAGCACTTCATAGTATAATATATCTGATGTCTGATGTTGAAGAAAAGTTTAAGATGAGATGTTTTACAAGAACAAGTATTAAGAAGTGCTATTTTACAAATTAATACCTGATTGTAATGAACTAGCATATCAGACAAATGATCAACGCCTCGGTACTTAATAGGCTGGGGTTTTGGTTGTTGAGAATAGCAATTGTGAGGGGTAAGACGTATTTTGGATGGATCATCCAAGCCAAGTTGTTGAGCTACTCTATCCACCACATCATCGTATGTATAAAGCCTTGACCTAGAAACCAATTTACTTAAGAGTATAAGAACAAGGATGGAAAGTTAAGCATAATAGTATATAAATTCTCACACCAGCTATCTGGTAAAATAGTTCCATAGTATCAACTATCAAATATAGTAATTAACTCCATTAAGTTCCATGATGCTTACATCTCCAAGGAGAAGTCATCTTCCTTGGGTCTGTCCAGAGATCGAAAATGAACCACCTAAGAGCATATAACAGATTGACACTTTATTTGAGCTGTTAATTCTTAATATATAAACATAACGAACTTCCAGATAACTTGGACATACAGGTATTGCTTAAACTACTGTGCAAAGTGACCGTGAGCAAAGGTACTTCAGATATAAAACCAAATAAACCACATTTAGTAGGGCAAAAAATGAAAGAACCTGGCGGTTATGAACATATTCTAAATATGATGGCACATCTGGATAGCGGACTTGTTGCTCATTATCCACCACTGGGGGAGCTTTCTGAAAGCATACAATATCTCCATCCTCCAGCTACAAATAAAGAATCCAGTCAATATGCCAAAAGAAGATTCAGTAACTCAATCAGAGAATATGATTCATGTATTGTTTTTTCAATACTGGGAATCCATACATGGGAATTTGGATTCTCATTTTTGGCAAAACCCCACCAAAAATATTCCCAATCTAAAGTGTTTCCATAACATTTTTCTGAACATGCTCACAATGTCATCAACCTACCACCAGTTCACTGCCATACCATCCACGCCATTTCCACAAGCGGTAACTGACCGCAACTACCACCTACCAAAATCTCTCCAGCTGCTAAAAATCAGCCACCTTGTTGCCAACTGTAATTGACAGTGATCAGCCTTCCGCCAACTTCCACCGCCAGTCAACAGAATTTTATCATGCTCTGCCACTGTCGGAAGTTGACCAAAGCTAATCGCTTAAAATCCGACCACTCCAAGCAGTAAGCATCAGTCCCCCCATCTCCATTAATTATATAATCAAGATTTCCAGGAATTATTTTTCAAAAGCAGAATCAATTATGGACATACCTGGCTTGATCGGAATGTTACTTTCTTATCAATAGGCTCGCACATGACATTTGGCTCAAACTTAATCTCCTGCACAAAAACACTTCAGTTAATTTACTAATTATACAACTCATAGGAACAAAGTCTCGTCCAGATCATAAACAAAAAATGCACTCCAGCAACTAATTTTCTATGGAACATGACCCACTCAATCTGCTAGGCTGCACTAAAGCAACAACAGTAAATGTAATGGTTAAAACACATAAATAGAACAAAATGTAGAAAATATTATTAGATTTTTACATCGGATCTAATTTATCCTTGTAGAATCGGCTTGTAGAGCGAAGAATGTCTCCCATTTATCAGGTCTTGTGTCATTCAATGTGTGATTCTTAAGGTACACCCCTTAGAACCGCACAAAACCATTTATCAAAAATTGCTTTTTCTAATTTCAAGCATACGCGAATGAATGCTGCTTTAATTCTATATAGATTGTGACTGTAATAAAGGAAACAGGTACAAACCAACCTCATAAAGTACAATATCTTCTTCAGGATCATAACCAGCCATTTCATTTAGCCTTGTTAAGATTTCTGATGGCTTGCCAGTACCCTTCACAAAGAGCCTTCCAACATAGCTGTCATTACAAGGAAACAAATCATGTGTCAATCCAGGTTCTACACATAAAATATGTACAAACAAATAAATTATTCAGTACCGAAGCTCCTCTTTTTCAGGATCGTATAGCTTAAAGAAAAGTAATATATCATCTTTTGTCTTGTCAGGTGATGCAATGGGACATAAATCCTACAGAAAAGTATAGATTTTCAAAAACATTGTGTTTGGATAATAATGTTTGTGCTATTAAACAGTATACAATATCCATAATGTATGTTACCATCCCCTTCTCCACCTCCAAAAACAACTTTAGTTCTGCATTGTGAACCTTGTTTGACACTTCTCTCAATTGTCCGACCTGCCAAAGCACTCTCAGAATTGATCAATAACTAGACAAGAAGGGGATAATGAATAAAAGACAACGGAGAAGTACAAAACAGTGAGCTAAAGATGGAATAATGAATAAAAGACAACGGAGAACCCACAGAATTAACTGTACATCCATCCCAATAAATGGAATCTAACAAAGCTACCAGCTAGGACAATCATGTAATTAGAAGGCAGATATTAAATGATTTGAAGCTATAGTAAAAAAACATAAAGGTGTTTCCATGTCACCCTTAAATCATGAAACCCAACTGCCAGAAAAAAGGTAAAGGGAACACAATATGGAGAATCTCCAAGCAAGCCAGAAAATTTACAGTTTGTGTTTCCTCAATGTGTGTTAATGGTCTATTAGGCCGATAAGTATGATTTTGTCGCTTAGCCCATAGCCAAAAGCGCTGAAATTGAACTGGTATGCCAAACTCTTTCGCAACCTCTTCCTGAAAATCACAGATTATGCAATGAACATTAAATCAAACCTGTAAATAATAGCTTTTAACAAACACACTAAAGTAAACTAAGCATTCATCTCAGCAAAACATTGTAAATTATTATAACGAAAGATGTTAGATCGCGTAATATATTTATTACCATCCAGGTAAAGCAATTCAAGTTTCAAACTTTAGTATTGTTGAAAAAATGAAAGTTCTAATAAATAAAGGTTTTATAGAACTATGCATGAAAACAGTAATCTTCCATCTGTTACAATTTGTTCAAAATGAAAAAATCACCAAAACCAGACCATCAAGGCTCAAGCAAACAACGATGACTGATTGTGATACCTTGAAAACGTTAAAAGGAGTCTGCTTTTGTACACGGAAACTCCTAACTTTGTCGTGGTCTACAAGATCAAAGTAGATATCCTTTCCCATCTGCCCTTCAATGTCTTCGTCTCGTGCTACCTAAGAAAAATCATACTATCAGTAATACCAAATGCAATTCAATTGTATAAATTCTGAAGTAAAAGACACATAATGCTCAATTCAATTGATTCTCGAGAAAAAGCCAAGGTCAGACTAAGAACCTTTATAATTGTATAAAGATGGGCCTCTGCCTTTTCTTTCTTTTTGTGTTCCTTTTCTTCTTGTTCTTTCTTCAACCTCTCCTGCATCAATTCATTACAAAAACTCATGTCAGATTTTCATAATAAAGAAACACAATAATTAAAAGTAATGGACGTCAGCAAGTTGAACTAGGCTTAATCTTGGCACAGGGTTTATAAACTTCTCTGCACTCCTCACTAGAAAGCAAATTTAAAGTTTAAGGCGGGGAAAATAGATAAAAACAGGAAAAGTTGATGGAAGACATCTAGTTTATTGCAACAGCTGAGCCGTGACATGCATTATTAGATCAATTACCAATTAAAACAGCACCTGAATTGGTATTGAATGTTAGAATTACAAGTACATGACAAACATAAAACAAGTTTCTATTAACTTGGCTTACTTAACTATGAGTACTAAAAGTAGATAAGAAATATGCTCACCCTTAAATGTTCAGCAATGTCTTTCTCATCCACATTGCATATGATTTTGTCCTTGTCACTTTCACGTATATACACCAGCATATAAGCATTTGAGTATTTGGTGAATTTAAATGGCGGATTATTGAATCCAGGATTTGTTTGTGGTAACTGCTAAAGCACAAGAGGTTAAATCAATAACAGTCAATGTTTAAAAAGGATAAAATGCCATGGCAATGGAAATTAAGCAGTTACCTCTTCCTCACCACCATATTGCTCCTCTAGTGCCCGTTTATTGTCTTCCTTTGTCACCCTCTCATCATCGAATTTGTACCTGATATCAGGCCCATATCAAATATAGCGATAGGCCGGGACAGACAGCTAAAAAGGAAATTCAAAACAGAAGAAAGAAGACAAAGCGGCTTCAAGTATGTTGCATGGTAGTCAGGTTCAAATACAACAATTATCAGCATTATAGCAATCAACAAATTTAACAATAAATACCAAGGAACAGGTGCACCCTTAGTGTAGAACACGTGGAAAAATTCAACTGACAAACATAAAATATAACAGTCTTTACATGATATTTTAGCATTTATTTTACTATCGGAGAGACACAGCCATCCTAATTTCTGTTTCATTTCAACACTGATGAGCATATGACCATCTGAATCTATAATTTCTATGTGGCCATTATGTGGCCTTGAAACATAATAGGTATTTTAGCCCAACAGTTGTCCTGTGCATATAAACAAATAGATTCTTGTAACATGGCCTGGGATCTATATACAAAATGTATTCACCAACAGCAACTAATAGTTCTCTATATGTAGCCAGTTATGCATGAGCTGAGCTCCAATCACATATGCACAACAAATCATGCTAGCTCAAATAGTAGTGAACAGTACTGATCTCTTAAGACTAGTATACGTACCACTGTTCAGAGAGAGTTGGTCGGATAAAAGCGTAATAATGTCCACCATGCACGCCTCCACTGTGAACCAAAACACTGGGGGAAAAATCAAAATTAAAATATGTTCAAAAAAAAAATCAAAGACCAAATATGCATAAAACTAACTACATAGTGATGATCTTAGTATCATAGATAAATACAAATTTATAACACTTCTATGCATTTTATTAATTAAAGAATAAAGCTAGTACAAGAGATATATTACCACGTTGACTATAAAAAGAATGGAATTTATAATAACTAATACATGGATAATCAAAGAAAAAGTAAATTGAGGTAACTGCATACTCCAATTATATAAATCCAGTCATTCGCAAACACATCGATTTGTACAACTTTCATGAACTGCTTTCCATTACTATAATTCATCTGATAAGAAGTAAGATCGATTTTTTGTTGATCAAAGACCTAATACCATAGTACTGAAGAGCTATGAAGCACGGACACCTCTAGAAGTAGGCATGTCGCGGTGTCCGACACGTGTCGGTGTCCGACACGTGTCGGTGTCCGACACTTGTATGACATTGGTACGACACGTGTCAGAAAAGTCAAACAAGTGTGGAAAAGTCAGACAAGTGTCCAAAAAAAAATGGTTTTTTCTTTGCTTCGACATATTTTGAATCGGTTTCTGATACCCATGACACTCATACAACACGTGTCCGATAATTCAGACAAGTTTTCTTTAAAAAAATTGTGTTTTTCTTTTCCTCGATACACTTTAAACTTTTCCTAGACAAACTCACGCACAATTAAAAGGGTTAAACATATATTGAAGCAATGTTATCAATGAAGAATTAAAGACATTAACTTTTATTAGAATATTTTAACACTTTTGATATTAGATGAACAAATGAAACTCAAATTATATGACATATATAGCGGTGTCGGTGTCCTAAGTTTTTGACATATCAGTGTCGGAGTGTCTGTGTCCGTGTCGCGGTGTCCATGTCGGAGTTTGTGCTTCATAGCTGAAGAAAGACAAATATATTTGATAATATACTTCATATGATGAACTAGTGATTTAGCAGATGGAAACAGGAGGTTGAAGGAAGTGTGGTGTGTTGTTATAGGTCACGATAATTGGGTAAATTGGGTAAGGGCGGTGGTTTGATGGTGAAGGTTATACATTTTGTAGTATGTAGTGGCTCTGTGATGCGGAACAGGCTTGCTGGTGGCGAACAAATACAGTTCATTGTGGGCTCAATAAACTCGAAAGGTGGTTCGAGGACGACATGGGTAGTATGGCGGCTAAGGGAGGAAAAGAGAGATGGGTGGGGGAAAGGGCTTTTTCCGGTAGCCAGAATTTCTTAGAGGAATAGGGATCAAAAAGGAGGGGAGGGATGGAGGGTGGATAAGATGAGAGAGATAGGGAGAGAGAAGAAGTTGTGTGACTCTTTTGCCCCTCGTGATATCTTCCAATCTATACCATCATTGATAATAAAAATTGCTTAGGCAACATAAAAGCTTAATTCTGGGCCAATACACAACAAAATTATTTCAGTACAGTATACCCAGCCTCAAGTAAGATAAAGTATATGAAATGTAAGTTCAACAAACGCCACTAACTTGGAAATGAAAATTTAGGGTCATAACATGCCATGCCACATATCTAGTGTGGGAATCTTGGATCTACCATACAAAGTTTTAGAAAACCCTGTGGGAGATGATCCTAGGATTCAAGCTAGGTGGATGAATTAAAACGCTTTGGGCGTTATTTGTGAATGAGAAATAGCTGTAAGGTCAGATATAGTGTAGAATGTAGATGTGAATGTTGCAATAGAAAAATGGACATGCGTGAAAAGATAAGATGAGGAAGTATCAAAAAAGAGGTTAATGGAAAAGTTCACAATATCTTACCTAAGATGGTTTGTTCATGTGAGAATACCAATTGACACTCCAATAAGAGGAAATGGACAGTCTAATAGAGGAATGGTAAATGAAAACTCTAGGTTAACCCATTAAAAAGACTTCAATCTCTGGCACATAGCCGACCGTAGTAAGCAACCCCCAAAATGATATAACAGTATAGCTGGTAGCGGTATATAGCCGCTACTTCGGTGTTTAGGGAAACAACACAAGATGTTTTTAACACCATCTACATGTAAAAGCTAAAAATATAAGAATACGCATATCTAAAGACATAACCTTTACTAATAATAAAAGTTCAATGTCACCTATACTCAAACCATAAATAAGTATTAGCATCCAAAGCGTGAAATTAAGCATCTATGCATTTAAAATAAATACTACAAGTGATTCTTAAATTGAATCGTGGTAGAGGCAGCTTGGTTGCTCAATTGTATTTTACTGCCTACTGATAGTTGTTAGAGGAGAGCCACCGCAAAATCGCAGAAAAGGATGCTGCTAGAAAAATGCACAAGGTGGGGAAGGAAGATGATGCTGTCAAGGGTGCACGGGGAGACAAAACCGTTTCATAAAAGCCCTATTTTGTTGTCGTTCATAAATGTAGGGTCAAATGACCGCCACACTGCTCCTCAAAACATCAACCTAATGGGGTTTTTGCTTAGTATCTAGGGGCACTACAGTGGCTGCTATGGCCGCTATTGATTACATGGTCATAGCCTTACTGAACAATGGTTTAACAACATGATGCATCACTTGATTGATGTAGTTGACCTCACATAATGGTAAAATGTTTTTTGTTCTTGTTGAAGTAATCAATCAACAATAGCTTTATAATATTACTTTTCCAATTCTCAGTATTCATAATGATTTAGAAAATATCTTCTCCTATTTGATTTGATTTAGAAGGGCCTAGTAACATTTAATTCGGAGATAAATTGTATTCTATTGTTAGTTCTTATAAACTGTTTTGTGCAAATTAGCATATATTCAAAATGTCCTATTCATTCTAGTCTACAAACTCAGTCTTCACCATTTTTCTATCATCTTTTGTTTCCTTTCTTCTTTCTATATATTTCTTTTAAGTCCAGCAATTTTTTCTTCTAACGACACTGCACAATATCATCAAGGGGAAGCTTATCAAAGCCCACTTTTGCATGTTCTTCATAACGCTCGCGGACATCTTTTATAAATCGAGACAGTTCTGTGATAAAAGATGAACTAATGTATAAACACATTCCAGATATGAAAAGCATTAACTAACTGAGCAGATTAAAGTACATGGGGAGAAACCACAGCCAACATGTACTGCCATAAGGGCTTCTAAAACCTGCGCAGTTCAGGAAACTATCTAGTGCTATTGACAAATCAAAGACAAATTACAGAATCATGTTACCAACCACCAAATAGAACATTCTGAAGTATCCCAATTATGAAGAGATGAAGTCATAAAAATTAATCAATAGGAAGCTTTTATAGCCACATTAACATTTTCTTAATGAAAATGTTTAGTAAAACCCCACAATTCATCATTGTATTTTGATCTAAACGCATTCACTGGTTGAAATAGATTAAAAAACAAAAGTATATGGGGAGAAAACTGCCAACATTTACAGAATTACAGCAATAACAGCTTATAGAACTGGCAGAGTAAGTGCAAATGATATCAAGAATTATGTACCCAAACAATCACTATCAAATAAAAGATCACAAAACCACACTGATAATGAAGGGATGAAGTAACTAACAAGTTGGAAAGGTAATGCCCACACAACCAAGCCGTGCAATCTGTAAGTATACTGCATACACTACCATTTAGTTACCTGTGAAGTGTGTAAAGATTGCGGACACTCCTATCAGCATCAGGTGATAGATATTTTCCATCCTCACGATCAAGATCAAGTTGTGAGGGAAACTCATAGCGGTCATTAATCTACATTGTAGGGGCATAAAGAGAAGATTATAATCACATGGATTAATTAAAAAGGAGTGGCAGATTCAAAACAAAAAAAAAATTTAAAAAGGAGTGGCATCTCTCCATCAAAGATGAAAGAAAACCAAAAGGAACATTGAAACTCATGATAACAACAAACCCCTGTGCCCGCTGTTGTAAAAATTCTTCCATCTATATCTAGTGGTTTCAACTGAGTGAAGTATATCCTTAAAGTTCTAACAAATAGAAAGACACTGGCCAAGCAAAAGCCTTGTGATACCTTTAACACCAGCCAATTTAGTACAAGTTGTTTGCCAAATACCATATACATGTCAAATCTTCATGGGCCTTTTTTATAGTAGAGCTGAAGCACACTAGATGTATCTTACTCTTTACAATGGTTATGCCAATTGAACCTCTGTTTCAGTGCACTGAGTAGTGAAATTACTAAATAGAAAGACACTACAAAGTACTAAATTCCTTGCAGACTGACAAACAAATATCAAGAGAGAGAGAGAGAGAGAGAGAGAGAGAGAGAGAGAGAGAGAGAGCAAAAAGCAATAAATTTGTAGGACTACAAACCTTAACCATAGTATCCCGCATAAAGTCATATTCAAATCTTTTCAGCTGAAGCTGAAGGACAGGAGGGAAATCAATAAATAGGACACCCTTCTTAGCATCCTGAAATAATGGTACCAGTAAAATGTGCATTAGTTTGTGAACCAAACTCAATAAAAACTAAAACAGTTAGATGCTGTCATTCTGACAAATACAACAAGCAATTTAGAGAAATATCACCATATTGTTCAAAGGAAATAAACAAAATGCTAGAAATACACGGATAAAATTCCTATTGAGTATTATAATAACATTCGAAGTCAGAGAGCTAAGTTTAAATTAAATAAATCATACAACTCATTAAAATTTCGAAAAAGGCAAAAATCAGTCAGTCATAGCATTGACGGCCATCCCATGGCTGTTTCCGGAACAAAAATACCATCGAAGTTCTTACCTTGCTAGATGCAACACGGTATCTTTTTTACATTTGAAATGGTGATAGTTCGTAGTTCATAAAAAAAATTAGAATAAAAAATACTAAAAACATGTGCGCGCAAGAAAACAGAAACCTTCTGTGTTAAAAGCATATAAACTTCTCCAAATGACACTAGAAGTTTACTATAAGCCACTTCAGCTTTTATCAATTACCACTAACCTGCAAACCATACTGCTCAGCATGATATTTGTTATCCCCTTCAAGACGTTCAACTTCAACATACTTATCAAAGGAACCATAAACATCGCGACAACCTTTGACATCAAGCTGAAGGTCTAACATGCATATATAAAATTAAATTAGGATCCTATGAGTGAGACACAACTAAACAAATATTTGAATTAACAAAGCATAAAATGACTCCATTCTAGTTGATTTGTAGTACCATAAAATGACTCCTTTCTAGTTGATTTGTAATCCACATTGATGCACTCTATGTAGTTCATATGGTGTCCTTCGAATAACTTTTGTATTGTTCCCTCGACAACAGTTCCCTAACAACGAATAAAATAAACCACAGATATTTTATACTGTCATTCATCATAAAAACACAACCAACTATACCAAAGGCCTTTCTAATACCTTCATTTTATCTTCAAGTTTTTCACAAAGGACCCGGTTTAGCTCTTGAACATCGTGCTGCATGAAAGAATCATATGTATCCCATCCAAAAGATTTTGTCAGTTCCTTTGTTGCAACGCTAGTGTCACTATATTGGAGCTTGTAGAATAAACTTTGCAAAGCCAAAGGGATGCTTCCAGATGGCATATCATTTTCAGTTGTTGGCATATGGTATACAGCCTGAAGTGTGATATTTAGGAGTCAACTTCCACACTTTTCAGTTAGACAAGTGAAATTCAGGCAAAACAAAATAAGACTAGCAGTTCTAACCTTTCTAAAATAAGGAATATGGTACAAAGTTTGGAGTAGAGAATTCATATAACAGGTAGCTCCTTGGTTCTTAAGCCCAACATAGCCGGTCTCCTTCTTTGAATCATAATTCCAGTAGTCAACAATCTTACGAACAAGAACCTCGGCTTCAATTATAAGAGTATCATTCACAAGATAACCTCTACTAGGGTCATACAATTCACCAAGAGGCATGAAAGATGTGAAACCCCAATCACTTTCTCGTGCATTAAATTGATGTTGCGTGTCTGCATAACATAAGTAAAATGAAGTAAAAAGTATTCAAGTCTTAATAAACAAATTGACACTTCCTCTTTCTGTCTTAAAATTTGATGCAGGTAACACTAACAAGTTCAATTGGCAGAAATAGATTATAGAACTCGTTATTTCATCTTCCACCTAATTACCAAACATGGTGCACGAGGTTGGAACTAAAGGCAACAAAAATGCTAGTGTGTGTGTGTGTAAAAGTGTCAAATGACTTATTATAATAGATTATTTAAGTGTCAAATGATCTTTTATCCATTAATCGTAACATACATCTTGCAAAAAAAAACACACTTTTAATTCCATTAATGCTCTATCCTACTTACAGTTATGACTAGCCAGTACCATTATGTAACAAGTGTAAAGATCAAAATGAAAAGGCTACCTTTTCTCACAGAAAACTTATTATGGATTTGATTAACAATTGCCAAGCTAAACTGTGCATATCTACTCCAACCATAGGGCAAACTAGTTGAATCTGCAACGTCCAAATACATGGACAAATAGTCCACATTGTTTCCTTTTGGGAAAATAAGCACGCGCCTATCAAGTATAAAACAAAGTTAGGGAGAGGAAGTCGCTGAAATGGAGTAAGCATAACAGAGCATATCGAAAAAAGAAATTCATAAACCAATTTACTAAATCTCAAGAAAAAATACCATTTATAAGTACCAACAACAAATACTTCTGAGTAGAGCTTTTTTGTATTCAGCCTAGTAAAATTGTCAATTCTCCATGTGAATCTGGTTTGCGGAGGATCGACAACAGGCTGGCTCTCAACAGCATTGGCAGTTTCAGGTTGAGCTACAACTAATGATCATCACAAGAAACAAAAAGAACAATTACCCATCATGTTTGCAATTATCATAAATCATAAATCCATAAAGGGGGAGTATGGCATTACTTAAACTACTCCCTCCAATAGCTTACCATGAAATATGACAAAACATAATTAATTGCACAGTCAACAACGACATCAAAATTCCATAAATCCAAAAGGTAACGTAATCAGTAACTGGACATTAATTTGGGCTTTAGATTATTCTGTATAATCTTTATCTGACAATTTGATTATGTAAAAACTGATCCAAACAGCACATTCACTGCAGAACTTTTTCTTGATTCAAAATGTGATTGCAAGAAACCCACAAATTACAACTTTTAAGTCAATTTTCCACGGACCTCCCGCACCATGCCCTCTGTAAGACTTTTCTAAATCAAGCAAAAATGCATAATCCACTTTACAAGCAATTCAATTACATCAAACAAAAGTTGACAAAACAGTAAAACACAGTTCCCAAAAATAAGAGATTTTCCAAACGGATCAAAAGAACCAAAAAACAATAACTACCTTCCATAGGCTGGTGATTGTTCTCAGGCAAATCAGCATGTGGCACGAGCACCTCTTCATCCTCTTGCTGCTACACAAAAGAAAATACATCACACCCTAGTTCGGATCCACCACGATAACAAGAACCCCCACAAACAAAGCCCTAAAATCAAAACCCACAGTGCACGAAAACAGAAAATTGCGACGAAGTTTCACTCGCTCAGATCAAAAACATGAAAAATTAAACAAAAAGAAAACCCTATGAATGAAGTTGAAATCAAATTGACCTAAATCCGTAAAGAAGATAAGCGCAAGTTATGAATTAGTATATGAGCAGAGATAGTAAGTAAGAGAGAGAGATTGGGGAAAGACGTACGTCAATGGGAGCGGACATCATCACGGTCATGGTGGCGGGTAATTGTCGGAGGAGAGAGAGGGAAAGAGGGAGGAGTTGTAGAGAGAGAAAGAGAGAGAGTGGTGAGGTGTTGAAGAATGAGATCACCAGAAGGTGGTTTTCAGAGAAGGGAGAAGCAAAGAGGTCTTTGGTTTTTATTTGGGGGTTTGGGCAATTGGGAGATTTCGTGTTCACCTGTGGGCCTAGTTCTTACAAACACCTTAATCACACCATTAATCTAAAGTTTAATGCACACAAGATCGTTAGGGTTGGGTGATTATTCACTATTTATCAATATAAGATCTCATTTCAATACTAATATTATTTTTTGTTTGGGTTCATCAATATGAGATCTCACTTGAACACTAATATTGTACTTTTTTCATTATCCAACTTATAAGAGGTAGATCACCCATAGAGTTGTAAGAAGGAGTAATGCTCTGAATTTTTAAAAATTTAATCGTTGTAAGAATATTGTGGGACTTATATAGAGTGGATATATTGAGATATATAAGTTAGAGTCTGAATTCAAAAGTTGTTTGATGCGTGAAAATGTGTAAAAATATATTGTGTTTGTGTGCGTGAAAGTTATAATGAGTTTATATTTTATGGATGATCGATGGAGAATCACTTATAATTGAAATCTCTAATTTCATTTAATGGTAATTTATCTCTATATGCATCATATTTCATTTTGGTCTCACTTTATATGTGATATTTTTCATTACGACTCTAGTTATCCTAAACATTACCGGTGACAATTCAATACTTTGTATAAAAATTGGAGTTGTACACAGTGAACTATTTGTGTATTTTTATATTGTTGATTGATTCACTATATTTGTGAGAACATGAATTACCTAAATAAATATCATGTGTATGGTCTTGTTATTATTGTTGAGTATTTTGTGGAGCACAAGTCAATCTCAACAAAAAGAAAAAAGTGATTTAATTGTTAAGATAAAGATGGTGCTAATAGTTAATGTATAGAATTTATGGTTTCAAAGTTACTTAACTATTATCAAGGAAATGATTTGATGATTTTAATATAAAAAATATTATGGTTAAAAATAGAACTGATAAAGTTGGAAATTGACATATGCACTAATAAATAAATACTTGTGTTTATAAAATATTGGATCTTGAACAATAATTTGAAACATTTAATATATATATAAATAATTACAAGATATTATTAATTAATGTATTTATTATACCAACTTTATGCATAAAATAATTTGGGACAATATTTATGATAAATAAACTCGTTTTAAGATTAAGAAATGTTGAAATTTATATGGACTCCATAATGGTAGTGCATCCTATTGATAAAGTAAATTTGAATATATGAGAGAGTATGTCGATTATTAATTAAATTTAGAGGTTGATAGAAAAGCTCGAGTAAGTTAGTGTGTCTCGCTCGTGTCTTAGTTAATATTGGATGTTGTATTAATCAATATCATATCTATTTTAATTTGACGCCTCGTAGTTTATTGAATATTTTAGACTAAAATTTTAGATATTTCTACCGTTACGATGATTTGTATGTAGTCTTTCTCATATGCCTTGGACTTAAGTCTTCTTTATTAAAAAAAAACAAACAAATGTCTTATTAATATAGTTGATATTGTAAAAGACTATAACGACATTTGCTTTTTTTTTTAGCAACATTCAAATAATTACACTTTTTAATATTTAGTGTGCGTCAGTTTCGCTATTAAGATATTTAAAATTAAAAAAAAAAATGTTTAATTTTTTAAAAATAAATCTATTTGATAAATTAAAATTTATGATATCTTTAATAACAAATTATAAATCAAACAAAATCAAAATTTAATATATATATATATATATATATATATATATATATATATATATATATATATATATATATATATATATATATATATATAGGGTTTAGGGTATATAGAGAGAGAGAGAAAATAGTAGTTATAATATTTTAAATTATAATTATAATATAAATATTAAGTTAATTTAGAAAATAGTAGTTTTTGTCAGGGTGTATGGAGAAATTATGTTAATGGAATTAAAAATTCACCTTTAAAAAGTAGAGATATGGTATATTGAAATATAATAAATATATAATATAGGCGAGCAATTTTATTTGATTTGGGAATAAATATTATAGTATTTTTTTAAAATTCTTCTCATTGTCATCCCTACTTCTATTTTAGAGATTTTAACATGTCACTCCTAGTATTAATCCTCGCACTTCTTTTATTTCCGTATTGACCAAATTGTCCATGTTATTATTAATCCTAAAAATTATCTCTTTTGAAGAAAAAAATTCATTCGTGAAAATTTTTGAAAAACAAAATTTTTGGTACACATTAGTGAATTTCCGGTATCGCCTGATCAAAATACCAGAAATTCTTTGTATTTCAAAAAATTTCGGAAGCGATTCACCGAAAATTTCTAAATTGGCGATACGAATTTCAAATTTTTGCAGATTATACTAGATTTTTCCAAAAATTCCGGTACATTTCAAAAATTCCAGAAATTTCAAATTTCTGGTTTACCGGAAATTTTGCCAAACCTGTAATTTTTGGTATTGCAAAAAATGAGTCTCTCTACTTGTGCAGTCCTTAACCGACACAACGAGCAACTTCTTCTAGGATTCGTGTATAAATTGTACAGAATTCTTCATCGTCAATGTTGTATGTATTCTATTTAACAAACCTTATTCCAAAATATTTGTCTGTGTGTAGGAAATTATTAATTTAACCTTTATATTTCAAAATGGATAGATATTTAAGACTCAGTCAAATGTTTTAGCATGGGCACAGGTATCATAATCGGCAAAAAATAAAGAGTCGTCACCACTATTTTTTGTCTTAAGGACGGGAAAATAACGGATAACCCTAATTTTGTCAAAGATTATAAGTTTGTAAGTCAGTTAGATAAAGGGAATGTGTTAGGCACCATTTATCTCTCTTGTTCTCAAGGGGTTCCACTTTTAGGTTTCGGGGTAAATCAAGAATATCTATTTAAAAGTTATTGTTTTCATGTACTTGAGAAATCGTTTAATCTTTTAGCTATGGGACTCGTCTTAGTTTTAACCGTGTGCATATGTATCTTCTTGCGAAGAATCAGAATCCAATTTCGTAGTTCGTATGTGTTTGGTTGTTTTTTTATAGGATTGTGTAATTTCTTTTGAACGATTCTTTAAATTTGTTCGGGTTTGAAAATTGTATAGTCGTGGGCGTAAATCGAAATTTAATTTGAAAATAAGTTCACAATCTTTTTTTTGAAAATAATGTCGAATTTGAATTAAGTTAGTAGAAAAATGTCAGATTTTATTGGTTAGCTATTTTAGAATGCATGATGAAATTTGAAAATATTTGAATGAAATAAAATTGAAGTTAGTAAAAATGTTTAATGATTTAAGAAATAAAGGGATACTAATTTTAGAAAAAATAGTTAATAATTATAATAAATATAATATTTATTTATCAAAATAAATTATATATTTATAATAATAAGAAAGTTTATTTTGATGCAAGAATGGAAAAAAAATGACATGAGAAAGAAAAATAAATAAATAAATAAAAGTAATAAATTAATAAATTAAATAGATAAGTTAATTTAATTAATTAATTAAATAAATTATTTAAGTAAAACAGGGGGTGCATTTGGTCTTTCGTAGTAATTTATGGGGGTGTGAATAATAAAGTCAGGCCCAGGATTTTATTTTGAGCCCAATGACCAGTGTAACGCCCGTAATTTAATTAATTATTTAATTAAATTATTTTTAGAATATTTGTGAAGATGTATTATAATTAATTGGATTTAATTATTTTATTAAGTGGTGAAATAATATTATAAGTGTAATATTATTTAATGTGGGCTTATTTTGAAAGGAATAGAAGTAGTAAGGGGGTGTATTAGTTCTAAGTCCAATAAGGAGTTAATAGAATAATAAGGTTATTTTATTGTTGTTAGAAAGAAAGAAGCAGTAGAAGAATAAGGATTGAGAAAGAACGTGCAAGCTGCTAGAGAAAGTGGAAAACAGCAAGAACGAGAATTCAACCAAAAATTGTAGAGCGACCTTCAATCCAAGGTAAGGGTGGGGTTCTGACTCTATAATTGAGTTTATGATGATTGATATGTGGGGTTAGAGATGATTGTTGTCTTGTTCTTGAATTGAAAATACCTGATTGTTGTATGATGAGAATTGATGAATTTTAGATGAATATTGGTGTCATGATGTTGTGTAATTGATGTAGAATTATAAGGTGATTATGGGTGATGAATCTCCATGATTATATTAAGTTTTAGGGCTTTAATTATGGATACGTAGTGAGAAGCAGGGAAGAAGAAACGCAGAATTTGGCAAATTGATATCAGGCGCTACTGTTTTAGAACAATGAATTAATTAGGGATAGCGTTAGTCATACTCTTCCTAATTAGGTTGATATCAGGCAAAGAATTAAAATAGTAGGATTAATAGAAAATAACAGTTATGATGTTAGACGTAGGTCGTTAGAAGTTGTGTGGCTTAGCGAAAGGTAGAAATTCTAATGTTAGAAGTTGCGTTGGAGTGGTAAGAAGTAGAGGTTCTGATGGTGGAAGTTGTGTTAGTTAGCAGTTGCGTTGAATTATTAGAAAGTAGAAGTTCTGATGATAGAAGTTGTGTTGGTTAGAAGTTATGTTGTCAGAAGATCGTGTCATCAGAAGTTGTATTAGTCAGAAGATTGTGTCATCAGAAGTTGTATTAGTCAGAAGATTGTGTCATCAGAAGTTGTATTAGTCAAAAGTTGTATTGGTCAGAAGTTGGGTTAGTTAGAAGTTATATTGGTCAGAAGTTGTATTGGTCAGAAGTTGTATTGGTCAGAAGTTGTGATGGTCAGAGGTTGTGTTTCCAGAAGTTGTGTTGTTAGAAGTTGTGTTGTTAGAAGTTGTGTTGATTAGAAGTTGAGTTGGTCAAAAGTTGTTCTGACCAGAAGTTGTGTTGGACGTTACGGCGTTTTCGTACAGAATGTGGAAGTTAG